TGATTCACATAGTGCAAAAACATATTGCTTGCTTGCTTCCTTCACCATGGCGAAGAATGTTGGTCATTAAAAAAGAAACATAAAGTTAAGTGTTACAGAGATGAGAATGCTTGGGTGGATGAGTGGCTTCACTCTTAGAGACAAAAATGCGAAACGACTATGTATGTGAAAGGATTGTTGTAGCTCCAGTGGCACATAAGATTAGAGAGAGTCGCTTTGGATGGTTTGGTCACATAAACCGTCGTTTTCATAACTTAGTAAGGAGATTAGATGTGTTGGATTTGGCCTATATTAAATAAGGTGGAAGTAGACATAAAAATATTTGACTAGAAAATATTATAAATGATCTTTTTCGTTAAATTTAAATAAGATTTTGACTCTTAGATAAAGGTTTAATTTTGTTGTTGCTTTCTTCACCATAAGCACATAATTGTTTGTCGCATGATTTTAAATGATATTATTTATTTAGAAAATAATTTGCATAACTAAACCTGAAGAAAATTGATTGAGAACATCATTATCTAATTTTTTAGTGATAATGGATTTAAAAATTTTCATTTGATATAAAAATATGTTCTTATGTCAAATATTTTTGTGGTTCTTTGGTTGAATGTTTTTAAAATTTTATATTTAAGAAAAATGAATTAATTGAAATTCATGAATTTAAATATACAAATAATTATTTTATTGTATATTCTACATGAAATGCTTTATAAATTTATTTTGTTGTGTAACATGATGGTGTTGGGGCCTTAATTCATTATAAGTTTTGCTGGTTAAATAATTTATAAGTTTTGTTGTATATATATTTAAATTATGATTTATTATTTTTAAGAATTATTTGAAGTTGAATTTAATCAAATAATTTCTCTATAAATTAGTTGTTTTCAATATGCTCCTCTACTGAAGGATTTTTAACTTATTTCACATCTAAAAATAAGCAAAGAAATTTATGATACTTTCAGTGTTTTATTCAGATGTGATAATGGGACAGGTGATAAAAAGAATGAAGAAGTTTTGAAGGAGACTATCAATAAATAAATTGAAGTATTTAAGGGACATGCATGTCTTTAAGGAGGAGAAGAAAAAAAGAAAAATATAGAAGGAAATAAAAACAAAGAACACCAAAGGATCTTGTACTTGCCCTCAAGCTCATATTGCACTCTTCTATTTTGGGACATTTGAATCGTTAAGGCAAACTCACACACACATATTACATATATAAGTTTTGAATCCAAGACATTTTTGTTAGTAGTCCATCCATCAATAATGAATTATTTTTATTAGCTAGATTAAAAATTATTTTTAAAATTCATGCTAAAGTAATTTTTATATTTTTCTCACATGATTTCATTTTAAATTAAGGCTTCGTCTGAGACGGCTTTATTACTGCAACTTAAAATAGCTTTTTAGTACAAAAATTTTATTTTATGTTATCCAAACCTGCTTTAAGAGAAGCTGTAAGAAAGTCATCCCAAAAGAAGCCTAAATTTAATTAAATTCATGAAAACAAACTTTTATTTCTTGGCAGCATAGAAATTGAATTACAAATGTTCATGTTTTTTTTTTTATGTCACTTGTTAAAATGTCTCATTTCTGTGGAAAGATATGATGTAAATAAATTTTTTTTTTTTCATTAAAGACCCATCAAATTAGAAAGACTTGATTGTAATTATGGATCTAATTAATTAAATATGCAAATAAATTGATTTTTTTAACAAAAAAAAAAGTTGTCGAACTAATAAATGATATATCTTCTTTTATTTAGTCTCCAAAAGGCCCAACCGTTTCATAATTTTATCTCAAATAACATCATATCAAAAGATAACTTTCCCATTGACTCATTATTATTTCAAATAACCTTTTGTGATTCATCTAGCTAGAAGCAAGAAAAAATAATATGAGTAGTCTCCTCGCTTCACTTGAGCTTCAATGATGTTCATGGAGAGTAGCAACTCTCTTTCTTTCTCTTATTTTGGGTATAAGATTCCCTCTTTATTTGAATTATGCTTGATTTGCTCTTCATATGAGAGGTACGTGGACAAGTTCTTAGCTTCCATTGAGGAGTTCAAATTTTTATATACCTTTTATTTGTATTAAACAAAATTACCTTTTGACAAAAAAAGAGAAGCACAAAATTAAGTAAAGTGTTTCAAAGATGAGAATGCTAAGGTGGATGAGTGACTGTACTCTTAGAGACAGAATGTGAAATGAGTATGTACGTGAAAAAGTTGGAGTAGTTCCCGTGACAGATAAGATTAGAGAGAGCTATCATATATAATTTGGTCACATAAAATGTTAGCCTTCCGATGACCTGGTTGGGAGTAGGTGTATTAGATTTAGCCTACATTAAGAAACGTAGAGGTAGGCATAAAAAGACTTTGTTAGAAAATATTAGAATTTTTTTATTAGTAGTTTTATATGAAAATTTGACTCTTAACAGAAAACAATGGAGAAAAATGGTTCATATAGCCTACCCCACATAGTAGGATAAAGATTAGATATTGTTGTTGTGACGGAAAAAAAAAACTTGTTCTAGCTATATATAGGACCTGCTAGATGAACATTAATTTAATAAACTCAATTTGAACTTCACATTTCATCAATAATTTTGTGATCATAGTATGATTGGATCTTGATCATGTTAATTTCATGATAAGGATTTGTATTTCATTGGGAAGCAATCTCTCCCACTTCCTGAGTTTCCTTGCTTGACTAGAAATGAATTTTATTCATTTATTTTCTGCATTATATGGTTTTTTTTTTTTTTTCAAGCATACTATATATAAGAAAGTCATCCCAAATAAAATCTTAGAGTGAAAAAGTTTGAGTTATGATAGTAAGTAGAGTAGTAGAAACCTAAGTGTAGATAAGTACTAATGAGTACAAAATCATTGTAAAGATACTTTCATAACAAAATTGTATTAAGTGTATATTCATTTGTTTATTTGTTTAATGTATATATACTTTGATACCTTTGTATAGCTTGGGTTGAGTTTCTCTTGTCAAAACAAGAGGTGGGTGTGCAGTTATCCTTGAATTAAGATTATGTAAAATGTAATCCACCACCTAATATTTTCATTTAGGTCAACTTTCTTACTGCTTTGTCTTTCAAATCGTAATCATAATTTTTATTTGATCACTACGTACTTCTTCGTTGCTTTCAAAAAAAAAATCATACTAGAAAACTGTTTTCTACAATAATTTAAAAAGTTACTTTCTCTACTGTAATTTTATAAAATAGTAAGAAAATCATCTCAAACGAAGCCTTGGAATGAAAGAGTATGAATTGTGATAGTAAGTCTAGTAGTGGAAGCCTAACCGTGTGGAATATTTAGACACCTAGATATAAAACTAATTGGTGCATAATCATGTAAAAATACTTTCATAATCAACAAATTTGTTAATTTACTGTAAATAATAACACTTTTTTTATTATTTTTTAGTAAATAGTATTGAGATTAAGTTGAAAATATATTAATTTAATGAAATTAAAATAAGTCCTTAATGAAATAAATATAAAATATAAGCACATATAAACTTCTTATAACTCCTCTTTCCTCATTTGCTGTTTTTCTACAGCTCAAAATAACCCAAAATTTCAACCATCTTCTTCTTCTTCTCTGTTATAAATATCCCAAAATACACTTCCAACCATGCTCCAATCTGTCTAACTTTTTTTGAACTACATTTCTCAATGGCCCTCCACATTCCATCTTTGTTTTCTATCTTCTGTGTTGTCATTCCCCTTGTTTTTCTCCCCATCCTTCAACCCAACTCTTGTGTGTCGTTGGCGACGGCAGCTTGGCAGGCCGCCGGAGCAACATGGTATGGCAGTCGCAATGGCGCCGGCAGCGATGGTGATCTCTCCCTACCATTCTTTCAATGCATACAATCAATTATGTTAATTGCATCTTGATACAAATTATATCAAGATGGGTTCAAATTTTATTGAATTTATATTGTTATTTGTATACAATACAAACTTTTCATATAGAAATTAATTTATGTGATTATATATGATCACATAAACAAATTCAATAATTATTTAGTTCATCTTCATATGATTTGTATGAAGATATCTTAATTTTTCTTTTTTCTTTTTTTTTTATCTTATATACGTGAAAAGGTTGGAGTAGCGCCAACGGACAATAAGATTAGAGAGTCCTCTTAGATGATTTGGTCACATAAAACGATTGATTTAGATGATAATTTGATTCTTAACATGATATAATGGAAAAAAAAACTCATGCAGCCGACCCCACATAATGGATATAGGTTTGATCTTGTTGTTATTATATACAAAATGTTGTTCAGTTAAATAATCGATGTATTCGCGATTAAGATTGTGGTGAGACCTACAATACTTTATGGTGCATAATGTTGATCATTAAAAGAGAAGCATAATACTAAGTTAAGTGTTGCAGATATGAGAATGCTCAGGTGGATAAGTGGATTTATCCCATAGAGCCATGAAGCGAGTATATACGTGAAAAGTTTGGAGTAGCTCCAGCGGAAGATAAGATTAGAGAGAGCACCTTAGATGGTTTGATCACATAAAACGACGGCCTTCCGGTGACCCGGTTAGAAAAGTAGAGGTATTAGATTTGACTTATATTAAGAAAGGTAGAGGTAAACCTAAAAAGACTGTTATAAAATATTAGAAATGATCTTTATTTATTAGATTTAAACGAGAATTTAACTTTTAACATGACACAATGGAGAAAAATGATTCATATAGCCGACCCCACATGGGACAAAGGCTTGATGTTGTTTGTTTGTTTTGTTCAAATATAATTTTGAATGACTTTGTGTCATGCTGTTAAAACATTGTGAGATTTTCTTGCTCATGCAAGGAAAGATTTACAGCTCAAACTGAATGTTAACAATATTGCGTTTTGAAGAAAAACTTTAGTTTACCGTTACAGTTTCAAGTCATCAAGATCAAGATGATCAAATTTTTAACATTTTTTTTCTAAGTCAAAACATGCTGCACGTAGGTGGTGCATGCGGCTATGGTGATCTGGTGGGTAAGCCTCCCTTCTCTTCAATGGTGACTGCAGGAAACCCTAACCTGTTTTTATCCGGCAAAGGATGTGGTGCTTGTTATCAGGTACTGAACATGACACGATATTTACACGTTAGATTAGTATACGATGACGATGATACTGATAATGGTGATGATTATTAGGTTAAATGCACGAAGAACTCTTTGTGCTCCGGCGAGCCGGTGACCGTAACTATCACCGACGAATGCCCGGGTGGGCCGTGTCTGGCGGAGAAGATTCATTTTGATCTAAGTGGGTCAGCGTTTGGGTCTCTTGCATTGTCGGGTAAAACAGATCAACTGTTAAATACTGGCGTGATTACTGTTGAGTATGCTCGGTGAGAAATCATCTTTTATTAATTTAATTTTTTAGTAATTGATAATTATTTTCTTTTTTAAGAGAATAATATATGATTAATTAATGTAATTTTCATTGCATTTATATCCTTTATGACACAAAATGTTAGCCATTAATAGAGAAGCCTAAGATTAAGTTAAGTGTTGAGGAGATGAGGATGCTCGGGTGGATGAGTAGCTTTACTCTTAGAGACAAAATACGAAACGAGCATGCATGTGAAATGTTGGAGCGGCTTCAGTGGCAGATAAGATTAGAGAGCTTCTTCTTAGATGGTTGGCCTTCTTATGACCCGATTAGGATAGTAGATGTATTAGATTTGATATGTTAAGAAAGGAAGAGGTAGACATAAAATAATCTGATTAGAAAATATTAGAAATGATGTTTTTCTTGTTAGATTTAAACAAGAATTTGACTCTTAAAAGGGAGAAATTATTTTGTATGATCATTGGATGACGTCCAGAGACGAATCAAAAAGCGTCATATCATTTTTTATGTGTATCAATGTTGTGTATCGGGTGACGTGACGTTTCCTGATTTGTCTTTGAATCGTCCGATGACCCCACAAAATAGTTTCTCCTTAAAAGGACACATCCGAGCGAACTTTTATTTGGTCTGGTCACCTAACGTAGATCTAAGTTTGGACGCCAGTAAAATAGTGCCACATGTTCTTACTCTTTACCGTGCGGCCCGACAACCCGAACCGGAACGGACCCGAGATTGCTCGGTATTGCAAGGTATTGATCGATTTTGATCTGCAATAACGAGATATACCATTATGTGAAGACCAATACCTAGCAATACCGAGTTTTTCTCGGTATAGCTCGGTATTGTTTGGTATTGGTCTTCACAGAGCGGTATTTCTCTTTTTTGTCAAGCAATATCTAGCAATACCGAGCAAGACCTAGCAATACCGAGCAATTCGCGAACATAGCAATTTCGGGTTCCGGTCCGAGTCGGGTCGTCGCGCCGCGCGGTAAAAAATAAGAAGACATGACGAAATATTATTGACGTATGAACGTAGAGCTACGTCAGATCACCTGACCTAATAATTATTCCATCCTAGCACACTTGATGATGTTGTTGATTTGGTATAATTCATGGAGAGAGAGAGAGAGAGAGAATATTTTAAAAATATTTAATTGTTGCTTATGATGTCAGTGTTAAATGCAAGTACAACGGCTACACCATCGCATTCCACGTGGACAGCAGCTCAAGCGGCTACTACTTCGCCGTTGTGGTGGAGTATGAAGGGGGCGACGGCGATCTCTCCGGCGTAGATCTCCGGCAGGCAGGAGGAGTAGGAGGGTCGCCGGAGTGGCTGTCGATGCAGCATTCATGGGGAGCAATTTGGAAGATCAACTCCGATTCGAAACTGAAACCTCCTTTCTCTCTCCGGCTGACAACGTTGACGTCACACGCCACCATCGTCGCCGACGATGTGATTCCGGTGGGATGGCGGCCGGGAATGACTTACAGGTCTGTAGTCACTGGACCTGCTCATCCATGAGAATCAATGCCGGTACAAACTTCTTAATACAATTATAATTTTATATTTATTTATTCTTAAACAATATATGTTTTTTATGCAGCAAATTGATGAATAAGAAAATTATGAGACTTTTTTTAAAGGCCAATAGAGAATATGATAAATAAATGAAAAATCAATTCAAATAAAATCCAAAAATATTATGTAAGTTCTAAAATAGGTTTTGAATTTATAATGAATAATAAACTAAGCTCAAATTATAGACTACGACTTCATTTGAGATGGTCTTCTTACTGTTTCTTAAAGTTACTTTTTAGTATAAAAATTAAAAAATTTTTTGCTAAAAAGTAAAAAAACCATCCCAAACGAAGCCTACATGATCATAATTTTTCACTTTATCTTCTTGAATGTGTTGAAATGAACAACCAAAAAAGCTTGGTGAAACCATACATAATCTTCATGATTATTAGAAAATGATAAATCTGACATAAAATAATTAATAATCATTGCGGGCTAGAATATATGCGGCGATAGAGTTGTAATCTTACGTCTTAGCATTGCACGAATATACAGCTCACACACAGAGAACACAAAATTTTTACGTGGAAAAACCCTGGGAAGGGGAAAACCCACATGGCAGACCCAGTTGAACTTAAGTAGGTTACAGTGGGCTAACTCACCTTCGAGGGCGATTAGATTACAAATATCAACAGTGTGATTGAAATCTAGCGATCAAAGAGGATGAAGGTCTAGTGACACTCGGTGGACTTGCAGAAGTCTGGTGCTACTTAAATGTTAGGACGTTGGTAGCATAGCGGTGGAATGACATAACTTCAACGTCGGGTCATGGTCCGGTGGAAGTTAGGCGCCATATGATAGTCCAGTGGAACTCCGGGCATCAAGTAGAGGGCCCGATAGAATTCCAGGCATCAAGTGGTTGTCCGACGCAACTCCGGGCTTTAGGTGGTGGTCTGGTGGAAGTTCGGGCCTCAGGTGGTGGTCTGGCAGAAGTCCGGGCGTCAAGTGGTGGTTTAGCAGAGCTCAGGGCCTCATGTGGTGGTCCAACGGAGCTCAGGGCCTCAAGTGGTGGTTCGGCGGACTCAAAGCCTCAAGTAGTGGTTCGGCGAAGCTCAGGGCCTCAAGTGGTGGTCCGACGGAGCTCAGGGCCTCATGTGGTGGTCCGGCAAGACTCAGGGCCTCATGTGGTTGTCCGATGGAACTCAAGGCCTTAGGTGTTGGTCTGGCAGAACTCAGGGCCTCAAGTGGTGGTCCGGCGGAACTCAGGGCCTCAGGTAGTGGTCCGACGGAACTCAGGGCCTTAGGTTGTGGTCCGACAAAGCTCATGCAATGGTCAATGAGCAAGGAGGCAAGAGTGATCTCTGATCTCTCTCTTAAATCCTTTGGCTTAGGGTCCCGTTTTAATAGAAAAGAAGGCTCTATTTATATATTTCTTGGAGTGGCATAGCCCGTAAATAAGTAGAAGATCAAGGGAAAATGAGGAGTGGTTGGATGGATGACCGATGTTGAATCCCTTGAAACATTTGAATGTATTAGTGATGTCGGAATTCAATGATCTTAGGTTCGTTGGATTCATCTCATCTAGCCGCTCGATTTGACCATAAGCACGTTATGTTTAGAAACCGTTTGGTAATCCAATTTGTGGTTTGAACCTCCCAACATCGCTTCTAACCCTTGATTTGAACCCATTTGGGCTCGGATTGGGTTGAATTTGGTGTCGTTGGGTTTATGTTATCGAGATGTTCAGTTCAACTGTAAGTTTGCTAAAATCAAAGTTCATATGGTCCCAATTTTAGTTTTAGAAGTTTTCAACTTGATTTTGCATCAAGATTTGTGCCCGATCAAAATAAATTTTTTTATGATGTATCAATAATCATCATATTAGTGTTGTTAATATTAAATAGATAATGGGTTACATATCAATTATATAGCTGATGTGTTATAAAAAAAAAACATAAATCAGGTGTGAATTTTGATACAAGAAACTTTCAAAATTAATTTGAGGAACATTCATACCGAATTTCAATAAACTTATAATTGAACTGAATTCCTATACTACAAGAACCAGAAAAAAAGCTCCAGTTCACTTCGCATCTACTAGGGTTTCGCATCGATCTTCCGTTGCCCTGAAGCTCTCAGGGAAGCCTCTGCCTCCTCATTTTAGTTTTATTTTTTGTGTATTTTTTTTTTTAATTGTACATTCTAGTTCGTTCTCCTTCGGCCCTTGTGACCGGAATGGAAGTGAAACCTTGGGTCAACCCTGGTTTTTTGAAGGTGTCGACTAAATCTCATTCTTTTGTAGATGCATTCTCTAGTCTTTCCTATGATGATCATTTTCCTTATCTCAAACCTTCAACTTTTCGTGATTTGTCTTCCCTTTGGATTTCCGATGAAGAGGTTCTCTCGCTTGCAGCTCCTTTGCATTTCACATTGGTTGATTTTTTTCCTTCTCAATGTCCAAGTCTCGACGCTATTTGGAAGTTTTTCTTTGGTCCTAAGCTTAATAGTAATTTATCATTAACTTTGTTTGATCATTCCCATGTGTTGATGAATGGTCTAGACTATAGCAAAGTTTTTTCTCATAGATCCTATTTTGTTAGCAATTGGTACATGAAGTTGACAAAATGGTCTCCACTTCTTGATATTGGTGTGAAGTACCCTGCATACCTATCTGGATATCATTCCCCAACTTGCAACCACTTTTTTTTACCCGGTATTCTTCACGGATTAGGTTCTTTATTTGGTCGTCCGCTGAAGGTGGGTCATGCGACCTCTGTTGGCTCCCGTCCCTCTATTACGTGTGTGTTAATTGAGCTTGACATTACTAAAAAATATTCAAATAAAGTTTGGATTGGTCATGAAAATTTTGGTTATGTTTGACATGTTATGATGGAGGAGTTTCCCCAATTTTGTACGCAATATAAATTGATTGGTCATTTTCCCAGTGAATGTCATTCTTCCATTATAGTGATTGATTCGGTTAATCATAATATTTTTAGTGAGAAGGTTAATGTTGTGGTAGAAAATGTAGTTGTTGTTGGTCCTATGGAAAATTTTACTCCTACTGAACCTCTAGTTAGTCTTATTGAGGTTGTGGTTAATGGGGAGATTGGTGTGGATGGTGCTCTTGCTGTGGAAAATAGCAATTGTAAAATTGAGGTTGCTGCTCTTGTTGAGGGGACAGGTTATATGTTGTATGTTGTTTTGCATGTTGCTCTTTCTACTGGAATTAATGAGGGTGTTGTTGAGGTTTCTGAGCTGAACCCTTGCTTAGTCAATTTAGTAGCTAATTCTAATGATTCTCGTGATTCTAATGTTGTTGTCAGTGATGGTAAAGTTGCGGTTTTAGATTATTTTGACCCTTTGGACCCTGGGGATCGAGAGATTATTAACCCTATGTGTGGGCTTCTACCTGTAGCGAGTGGTGAGGTTGCTTTGGATTCTCCTACCCGCTTTAGTGATTCTTTTCCTGATAGTGTTTAACATGAGGCTAAAAATGTTGATGTGCCTCTTATTGATGTGCTTATATTTGTTATTTCAAATGATCCTTTGTTTTCTCATCTTGCTTGTAATTCGGGAGATCATGGTGACTAGTTAGATGATGATAATTCTTCAGCTGGTGGGGAGGAAACTAATGAGAATGTTTTTTATTCTTGGGATAGCTTTGATTTAAATATTATTCAAGTATTTGAGGATGGTTTTTTTAAAAAGATTGGTAAACGCAGACGTCGTAAATAAAAAAAAATGATTTTTCCTTTTGGATTTGGACTTCTTTTTATTGTTGGGGTTGGCTTGTTTCGTTGGATTTTTTTTGGTGTTGCTCTATGTTTGATGGTAAGACTGTTTAGGTGGATTGGTTTGGTTGGTATTATTGGGGGCTTGCCTTTGTAGTTGTTGGTGGCTCGGGCAATGATGTGGCGGCTTTCTGCTCGCCGCCTGGATGGTTGTGGCTTGATGGCATTGGTGGTGCTTCCTCTTCTTCTGATTAGTGGCATTTGTGTGGGATGTGAGATTATGTTTATCCATTTTGCGTCTTCATCTGTGTTGGTTGTTGCTTGCTTCCTCCTATGGATGATCCTTGCTTGGCTTTTGGGTGGTTGCTGCATAAAGCTTCTTGCCAATTATTGAGCCCGATTGGCTTTTTCCTTCTTCATTGTTTATTATCACTTCTTTTTTTGTTGCAGCACAACATTTTTTTGCTTTGTCCTTTGTTTGTCTTGTTTGTATCCTTCTTTTATTAATGGAATTTTGTCCCTTTAGGTTAAAAAAAAAAATTGAATTCCTAGACAAGACAAACGCAATGACACTGAAAAGGATTCAACCCAAGTCCAAATGAGCCCAAATTAAATATATGAAGTGTAGTTAAATTTCAAAACATTAATTGAATAATCAAGTAATCTCTGGTATTTGTTTGTTTCAATGAGAGAAATCCAATTAGCTTAAAATCTTTTAATTTTAATATCAATTACAATACTTAAATGTTAAAAAGAATGATTTATAATCAAATAAATCAACGCGAGCGGTCCAATTGAATGTTTTGAGATTTTGACTAGGTTCATCATAATGTTATTCCCAAAAAGGCCAAGATTAAATTGAAAAGCTACAACTACAACTAGGTTGCCATGAATCTCTTTGCTTGTTTTCAAAATGGGGGATTTAAATACATACCACAAAATTCTTATCAAATGTCAAAAAAATTTTGTAGTTATTCATATATCAATTTAATCTCCAAATCACATCAAAACATATGAACAAAAAGATATGCTTTATTTTTAAAAAATTGTATTAGTGATTTTTTCGTAAGCGATATGACAATTTGAATGTTATTAGTGTTCGAGGCATAAAAACTTCACGAAGGTAGAATGAGAGTTTTGTGCCCTAGTTGTGCACGAAGATATAAAAGTGCAAACAAATATATCAAAGAGTATAGATAATGCCAAAAATTTTATATGAAAAACCCAAGAGGAAAAAATACTATGAGATTCTGCTTAGTTGAAATGATT